ATTGGGAAGTATCTGTTCTCCCGCTTTTTGACTTTTGTAATTACAAGGAATTTTTTTTCTTGTCATAGATCGTGTAAGAACCTCTTTCAAAATGGTAAAGTTATCCCTTCTCCATCATTTGACCTACATTTAGTAGATTTTGATCTATTGAAGTGACAAATAGAACTTCATTTATGTATCTCTTGCTCTTTTTTGTGTCAAAGGCAATAGTGCCTTTGCTTATTGTATTTATGTAATTTTCATTGCCAATTTTCATTTTTGTGTTTATTTTATCAAGATCGTAGAAAATACAAAACTTTTGTCATGTGATTATTGCAGCAATTGTCTAGATACCATGTATCTAATTTCTCTTCAGATACGCCCTTGTTGGAGGCATTAAATAGACTTCATCCTATATCATTTTCTTCAGAAAAATTAGGTTGATCGTTTTGTTTAAAATGACTAAATTTTTCTTCGGGTGTGTTTGATGGATATTATTGAGAAAAAAATGTATTTTAAATAGTGATATGATGAGAAATATGTGGTTAAAAAGTAAGAAAAAGTTATTGATGTGATGGTAAATATTATTTTAATGAAGAATGTGTGGTTGAAAATGAGTTTTGAAAGAATATATTTTTAGAGAATGTGTGTCAAACAGTGGCTTCATGTCCAGATTTTTTATAGCTACGGCACTGTGATTTTTCTTTAAACCAACAATCCATTTCCAAATGACTCTCTCTTTTACAAATGCCACATGGAAGATACTTGGCAAGTGAATCAAACTTGATATTCTTAACATAATTGGTTATGAGCTAGTTAATAAGGAGTCTTTGTCTATCATGTCCCTAAGTGACCAAAATATCCCAAAATTCGGAGGGGAATCTATGAATATCCCTTCCTTCAAAGAGAAATCCTGCAATTCAAATATTTTCCTCTCAAATAGTTTTTTTTTTCATTTTAGCCCAAGTTTGAGCATCGAAACTAGAAAGATTAATAGGAGAAAATCATAGTTAGATGAGAGAATTTGATAATCTGATTTTTACCATCAACATTTATATCAAATTAAATTCATACATAAACAATACAGATACTCACATGGGAGTGGGCGCCATGTGAATTAAATATTGCCAAAAAATGGGGCCAACTTATTTGTGTGTATTCTGTATGCTTTTTGTGTTTTTTTTTTTTTTCGTACACAGACCTTTTGTTAAATTAAAATTGTGTTGTGCTCTGTTGCATGCATATGGAATTGGAGTACAAGGTCAACTCGAAACGCTATTTCGACAACTAGATCATATATGGCTAAAAGTTAGAAACAATTCAGACTGTAGACCCTACGTCAGTATGTGGCAAAATTTGATAGTTCTTTCGTGATTTTGTTAAGATGGCGAAGTACAAATTATCTAGTTACCTAATGCAATTAATTGTTGATGGGAATGATTAGGTGCAGCAAGCAAAAAAAGGAATGTTTTATGTTCGACGGCAATGTGGCTAGATTTAGCATGGAAGAGCTTTCCCCAATCACGAGCTTGTGGTGTAGTTCTCCACCGGAAGGTTAAGAAGTACAGAGCCTAAATCGAGTCAGGAGGATGAATATTACTTTAGTAGGTGACGAGTTGTAAGAATCAAAGAATTAATGGCAGTCTCAAACAATTGCGAAGATCTTGCGGATAAGTACAAATTATAATCGACCATTTATTTATCCTTTGTTTGGGCTTTATGTGTTTGTGGGAAAATGTTTTTTGGAATAGTGATTTTTTTGTTTTTTTGAAGAATGTGCAGTTGAAAAAGAAGAAAAAAAA